CTGCATCTTCAGTATTTAACCATTTTTATTCTGTAGAAAACAAAGGTTAATGTATATCATTTAATGGAGCAACCTGACACGAGGCTACATTAAGTTTATGTGACAAGTTAGAAATTTCAAATTAGCATTGCTAAAATTTTGGACATGTCATTCTCTTTGAGCCTTACTAGACCATCATTCACATGGCTTTTTGTTTATTTATTTCTCTCCTGTATGACTTTCTAATCTGATAATTAAAATGAAAATATTTTCTATTATAAAAGTATTAGAAAGACAGCATAGGTTTTAAACTAATGAAATCAAGGTAAATGCGATGTTCTTAGGACACACCGCCTCAATAGATTTCAATGTGCTATACATCTCATAATTGAATTTGACAATACTTACACAGTTTCATTACATCAGCTTTTTATTATGACTAGTTCAGGTTTTCAGGTTTGAAAAGCAGCATGAAGGTCAAATTCTAGTTTTCTTCCAAGCATTTTTTGTTAAGTGCTTTTACTTTCCTTCCAATACTAAAATGCAATTCACTGCTACAGTGAAAAGCAGAGGAGCATCCTTTGCAGCTCCAAAAAGTAGCATTTCTGAAAACGTATGTACATACTCACATAGAAGTCTTCTGCCTGCATGACTGCTGCTTTCTACAGAAATCAGTTTTCACATTCTTGAGAAACATTTTCTGTTCTTAATGAACACTCAAAAGTAAAAGTGCTTTTCAGATTGTACACACGCATCATCATGTTTGCCTAACTGCCTGTTCTCTCTTATCAGCACCATCAGCATGTTATGCTATACATTTTTCTCTCACAACTGATGAGGTGATTAGATACTTCAGATAAGAGTGAAAAGCAGTACACTAACAGCGCTAACTCCTCCGCTTCATGAATTATCAGGCAAATACAGACCAATGGACAGAATTTCTGAGAGTCATCATTATTTTGGAGGCTGAACAAGTCGCAAGTGTTACTCTGCTGATGCCCACAGGTCCAAATGAACTTGAAGTTCAAAAATTGTTAGGTATCTTTTTCTATTTTTGGAATCAACAGCAATCTAGCATTAATAATAGCTATTTTAATATATCATAATTAATACACCGGATTGTTCTTTTCCTCTTTTTTTTCTCTCCATATTAAACTTCTCACTATACAAGCAAAAGAATTTTTTTTCAGTTGATCCTAAGAGACTTTCTGTTATCTGACATTTTTATTTCTGTCACCTTTCAAAAACATTTGATCTAATAACGAAATTCTATGAGCATGCAGATGTCATTTCATTCAGAAGCACACTACTTCCAAAATGACATTTTAAGTTCTCCACTTGCATTTTTTTTTAAAAATTAGGCACATATACATATATATCTCACCAAAGTGCAATGCAATGCAATACCATTCTTCAATCTTCTCAAAAACATAATTTTAACAACTCACAGTTCTTTCAGGAAGCTGTATAAAAGAAGTTGTTAAAAATAAAACAAAACGAAAGGTGAAGAAGCACAGAGGTGTTTATAAGGCCATAAACTAAATCACATAATTATATTAATTCATATAAAAGAACACAAGGTATGTCTCTACTGCAGCTTTGTTTCAGAGACATTGCCTAGCTAAGACATGGAAAATTTGTGCTACTCTGCTCTAATTCCTAGAGAAGTGTATCTCAGTAAAAAAAGAAAAAAAGAAAAAAAAAAAAAAAAGAGAAAGCAAACACACACACACAGAAAAAAACAAAACAACAAAAAAAAACCCCACAAGGCCGGGAAAAATAACAAAACTAAAACCACCAGCACTTTGATTAGTTAGATATGGCTTCATGGTCTTTACTTGCATGCTCACCGTGGTGAGGTTTTGAATACCAATGAACGTGAATTCCTGCTTTTGGGCAAGCTGAAGGAAAGGCACTGCAACAAGGTATTTGAAATGCATGGTCACACAGCCTGCCACTGCAGACAGAATTAAAATGAACAAAATAGCTTTAGCAAATTTGTTGCATGATAATCTCTACCCTAGCAGGAACTGAATCTCTATCAGCCTTTGAAATTCCACGGTTAGATGACTGTTTACCACATCTGCAGGAAATCTGAACAATGCAGCAACACACATCAATTTAGATTTGTAAAATGATAAAAATACATATATAGTGCAGCATACACTATGCATAAAAGCAGGTTCTTCATCTATGTTCTTTACTAAGCACACTATTTGATTCACAAATCTCATGACACTGTTTGGCACACAAACTTAAGTCAACCAAAAACAAAGCAACTTGAACAGACACAAAGGTGCCAGAACAGATCACATACAGACAAGACAATTAAGAGTGATCCTGTAAGTACTCACTTGTGCAAATTCCTTTATTACTTCTCCTATGGAGAAGTCAAAAGAAAACAAAGAAGAATCTAAAACATAGTGATAATTGAGGAATGAGGAATATTCTTCGACAAAGACACTGTGAACTGACGTAAAATTAAGTGTATTTTTTTAGCCTAACAATATCTCTGTCCCTCTATTTTTTTCAAAAAACTCTGGATTTTATGTAAGCTATACTAAAACCTATATTAATTTCAATGTTTCAAATTAATTTACACAACCCATTTGATCTTCTTTCAGTGACCTTAGCTAGAATAGCAAAGTTACTTCTTGTTCTAGCTACCGACATAAGTGACATAAAAATAATAAAATAAAAGTAGCTCAAACTGCAAGTAGTCCTGGAAACTTTAGGATCTGTTTATGCAAACATCCCTTAGCTGATGAAGAGGACAGTGGATTTTTTCCCTGAAAAAGGAATAATGTGAACTAGCAAAACTGAACCTTTCATCACTGCTTAGCTAACCAAGTAGTAAAAAACATATTTCACGTTCCCATATAATCACATGAAATTTTAAAGTCAAAAGCATTTTTAATATTCATTTGCTTTCTGAGTTTGGAGCCTCAGGGTTGTCATTTGCAAGTACATTTATATGCAAAAATGTGAGAAACCTAAGGGGGAAAGATAGAAGGGTAGAGAAAGAATAGAAAGATTTACAAAAGAGATTTTCAACCAAGTCTAAAAATGTACGTTTAAAAAGAAGTTGAAAATTTCACTAAACCAAACCACAAAACAACTATCCTAGGATCCATCCAGTCTTGTTTTTATGGCAAGACTTATCAATGAAATAATCTGGGCTTCTCAAAGTGATGCTGAAGCGAAAGCTCTGGGCTTTTTAAATGCACATATTAGTTTTGATAACAAAAGTCCTCTCAAACATTTGAAAATTTCTTGTCATTCATTTATTTTTTAAAAAGTAGATGATATGCTTAGTTTTTTTTATTTTTAAAGAAAAAAGAATTCAGCTTAATTTCTTGTAAATCCTTGAAGTATCATGGGTTAAGACAGAACACCAAGAATATATAGCATTATCATGAAAAATGAATAACTTCAGTTGTGCTATTCTTTGTTGTTGACCATATTAACATACCAAATATTTATCAAATTCCATTATCTATCTTTCAGTCAATTTGAAAAACTCTAATTGCTTTTCACTAGATAACAATATCTCTCTGTATCTCTCTTCAACTTAAAAATGAAACTCTCCATGAGGATTATGATTTTTTTTTTTTTTGAGTTAGTAATTGACTTCCAAAGCTTGTTTGGAAAAATCCTTGCTTTTAAAAATATTTCTCATATAATTAGACTTAGGGCAATTTTTCTACTTAATAAATATACAGGAGAGAAAAAACATTCTGTTGACAAATTTTCTTTTAAATCTTGAAATCTAAAGCTAAATTCCAAAACATTCTACATGTTCTTGTCAAAAAATCACACCGATCAGAAAACAAAAAAAAAGCATGCAAACAAAATACTTAAACCACACAAGTTTAACTTACAGCATGACAACACACCTTTCTAATAAGACATCAGAAAGGTAAATATGAATAGGCGGTCCAACACAGCCTGCTACTCTAGAGGTATGAAGACACCTACACATAATACTTCATAAAAAATAAAATCACACACCCATCATATACCTGCACAGGCAAGACAACAAGCTTTTAAGCTATATAAAAGTTTATTTTAAAGACAGTTCAGTATACTTCCTAATGAAGTAGTAGGCTTTTTTTTTTTTTAATCAGTCTTTTTCATGTGTTCTGTCTACACAAGCGTCTTGTTTGCAATGCCTATTAGTACTGGATCCTTCACTGTAAGGATACACACAAGATGACATGGGATCATCGGCTTCAAGTACCCTGCCCTGTAGTAATTAAACACTGACTGCAAGCTTGGAAGTCACTGCGATGCGCATTAGAAAGTTTCTGCGATGCTGACACACTAAAATATCACCCTACTTAAAAGTAAAAACGGGGGCAGGGCGAGAGACACTAAAGAGAACCCTCACAAAACACACCTAAGATGGCTAGTTTGTCACTGAATTAAGATCCATGGACGCTGGAGAAAAAGCAGACAAGAGTAATAGCCGGCAGCGTGTCTCCCTGCAGCTCTGTGGCAGCGGGGGTGACTGCACAGCACTCAACAAGCAGGGATCATCAAGCTGATGGTCCGCAGCGCTCTGCTCAATCTCTTGTTCTGACTTTGGGCTTGCACGGAGATGCCCATAAGGGCTCTCGGTTACAGCGGCATCAGTAACAGGCAGTTGCACAGCTCCTCCGCCGCCTTGCTGGAACAAAAGCGACACGCGATGCACACTGAGCCCCTGGCTGCTGCTGCAGCCTGAAACCACAGCGGAAATTTCCTCGCTACAAACTCGCTGCGTGTGGAGGCACTTGCTTGACTAGCAACAGGAAGCACCACAATTCTCTGAAACTGTGTCTAAGGTCCGAGGGCACCTTGCACACGCGTGCGAGCGGCGTTTCCCCCTCCAGCTGCGGCATGCCGGAGTCCACAGAATCCAGGCAGCCTCACCGTAAGGCAAGCAACCCGCGTTAGCTTAGGAATAATGAAATAAAGGCATGATCAGGCAAACGGGCGGCCTTCCCCCGCCAGGCCGCTCGCGCCGCCGGCCCGCCTACCTGCCCAGCTCGTCGCCGGTCTCGTAGTGCTCCTCCAGGTTCTCCTGCCTGAACACCGTCATGGTCGCCGCCGCCTCCAGCCGCCGCCTTCAGCCGCTGCTCGGCGCCCTCATCACCGCCCGGCCGGGGCCGCCCGCGCGGCTGCGCGCCCTGCGGACAGCGCCGCGGTGAACGCCCGCTCAACGGCCGCCCAACGCCCGCTCAACGGCCGCCCAACGGCCGCCGCCCAGTGCCGCCCGCCACGCGCGGCGGCGGCAGAAGAAAGGGGCTCCCGCTCGCCGCCCCTCCGCGCCCGCCTGCCCGCCTCCCTCCCGCCGCGCCGCGCGC